TCCCTCTGCCTCTCTCTCTTTTAAAAAATAATTTAATTTAATTTTTTCCATCACCTTTTATCCCCTCTATGCCCTCTACCACCTCCATCCAACCCCCTCCACCCCCTCACTCCCCACACTGTTGTTCACTGTTGTTCATGTCATGAGTTCTCTCTCTTTACTTTTTTCTTTTTTGTTCAATCCTTCCACCTCCCTCCCAGCTCTACGCTCACCTCGAGCTGTCTGCCTGCTCTCTGTTAGTCTGTCTCTACTTTGCTTGGTAGTTCAGTTTGTTCATTAAACTCCACCTATGATTGAAATCATATGGTACTTGCTTTTCTCTGACTGGCTTATTTCACTTAGTGTAATGTTCTCCAGGTCCATCCATGCTGTCACAAAGGGTAAAATTTTCTTCCTTTTTACCCTTTATCTCTCTCTTATAAGGACACTTGTTGGATTTAGAGCCACTCGAATAATCAAGAATAATCTCCCTATGTCTAGATCCTTAACTTAATCACATCAGCAAAGACCCTTTTTCTTATAAGGTAACATTTCCAAGTTCCAAGGATTAGGACCTGATATCTATAGGTGGCAATTATTCAGCCTACTATACCCTCCAATGAATTCACAATATACCCTACATGGAATCATAGTGGAATACAGATAAATGTATTAAAAATCTCTTTTCCACTCTGAAACTTGCCTTGGGAGAAACATAAACCCAGAAAGAGGAAGTGTTGTCATGGGGTGGATAATTCCAGTAGCTACAGAGGATTTGATTAATTCTTCTCTGAGTTGGCATTAAGACTTCCCGGCTGAACTGAAACTGGAATATGCAGTCTGTGGGAGTGTCCTTTGAATAGTGTACATTCTGTAACTCACTCATTTAAAGCATGATGATTCAACAAGACCATAAAAATAACATGATATATGTGTTTTTGTGGTTATGGAGCCAAGAGAAGAAAGATGACATAAATACTGAAATTTGAGGCTTTGCTCAAATGGAAGAAAGGCTGATCTTGGGTAACAAGGAAAGTTGAACTACACCAGCCCGTAGTTGCTGTTTGTGATATTAGAAAAAAATCAAAGAAACAATGAAAACTTCAGAAACAGACCCACACTTGATACCTACTTGACTTATAACAGAGGTAGCATTGCAATACGGTGAATAAAGGATAGTGTTTGTACATTTTCAATAAGGTGTACAGAGTAAACAAACAGTTATATGAAAAAAAATGTATCTTTATTCCTACTTTATAATGCACACAAAAATTAATTCCATATAAACTGCTGATCTAAGTGCAAATGGTTACACAAAGTTTATACAGAAAACATGGGAGAATATCTTTATGGAAAGCAAAGAATTATTAAACACACTCCACACATGTAGATCCAAAATACTAAACTTAAAAGGAAATATTGATAAATTTTAAACTAAAATTAAGAAATTTTGGTGTTTTTTTTTAAAAAAATGAAATCAATGTCCATACCAAAATAATATTGTTCTTTAAAAGTCAACAATGAGTTCTGCTTCCAGCAATGGTCAAGTATCTTATATTGAACACTCTTAGAGTTATAAACTTTAGAAAAATATAAAAACTGACTATATGAAGAGGTAAAGAGTAACCCCCAAACTGGCAAAAACTGAAGAGTCAATTAAAGGAGAGTAAAAAGAAGGAAGTATAATGGGTCAGATTTACATACATATGGTTTCTTGCCAGAGAGTATTGCCCAGTCCAGGTGGCAGAGGGGAGCTAAAAAGTCTAGCAGACAAATACCATATGATTTCACTTATATGTGGAAGCTAAAGAATAAAATAAATTAACAAACAAAATAGAAAGAGACTTATAGAGAACAGAATGATGGATGCCAAAGGGAAGGAGGTTTGGGAGGCTGGGTGAAAAGGTGAAGGGATTAAGAAATACTAATTGTTAGTTACAAAGTAGTCCTGGGGAATGTAATGCACAGTATAGGAAACAGAGTAAAAAATATTGTAATGACTATAGACAGTGCCAGGTGGGTACTGGAAATATCAAAGGGAACACTTTATGAAGTATTTGATTATCTAACCACAATGCTGTACACCTGAAACTAATACAAAATAATATTGAATGTAAATTGTAATTGAAAAATAAGCCCGGCCGGGCGTGGCTCAGTGGTTGAGCGTCGACCTAGGATCCAGGCGATCGGGGTTCGATTCCCGGTCAGGGCACAGGCCCGGGTTGCGGGCTGCAGCCGATCAATGACTCTCATCATTGATGTTTCTATCTCCCTCTCTCCCCCTCCTTTCCTCTCTCTGAAATCAATAGATATGTTTAAAAAAATAATAAAAAAATAGTTATAAAAAAAGTCTCTAAGAAAGGCAGTCTTACCGGCTTTAGGCACCAGAAAACAAGGATTAGCGCTGCAACATGGCTGAAAAGTGATGTCGCAGATTGGTACATAAGCAGAACATGATAAGGATGCATATTTTTAGTTCCTGAGATAATCATTTAAAAGTAATGCAAAAAAGAAGGTAAAGATATTTATTGTTAAATTCTCCAGTTAAAATTTATTTAAAATAATAAGATAAAATATAGAATTATGAAAACAGACAATATAATTTTTTAAAAATTAATGATTTATAAAGAAGTCAGGAGAGGAGAAAAACATACAACTTCTCTCCCCCCAAATGTTCTACCTTAACAGGGAAGAAGGAGTATGGTAAAAGGCCAGGAGTGTTTGGAAAATTAGAAATTATGAAAATCAATTAAATTTTATTAAAATTTTTGCAAAAGCAAGCTAATTAGAGCAGCTCTTTCAAAAACAAAAGGAGTTCTGAATTTGTACAGATTCTTGGGAAAAATATATAAAAAGAAACAAAAAATTGATGAAAACTAACAGATATGTATGGTATGAAGTAGTATTTCTTATTTAACTGTGTCTGTTTGTATGTGGGTTCTAATTGTTTCAGTCTGAAATGATCTCAAAAGAGATAGGTTTTGATATTAGTATAAGCTTAGGAATTAAAGATTATAAATTCAGATTCCTAATCGCAGCTTAAAACAAAAAGATAATTTTACATTTAAAGCAGGTGTAAAACAATACATGAAATGTGCAGCTTATGACAGGAGATTCATGTTAAANAGGAGATTCAACTTGTTATTTGATAGGCAGGTTCTCTATTTATTTACTTGTGTTAACNGAGATTCATGTTAAATTCATCTCAACTTGTTATTTGATAGGCAGGTTCTCTATTTATTTACTTGTGTTAACAAAAATTCTGTATCTTTAACTTATCTTGACACAAAGATAAATGGTTTATAACCAGACATAAATAATAGCAGCAAAACCTAAATGTAAAAAAATTAAAATTAAAATTTTAGATAAAAATACAGAAACATACTTTGAAGAAATCAAGGTGGGAAATATTTGTTAATATTTTGTGGTTTTTAGTGTGAGAAATTAGACTATTAAATATTTTTAAAATGTTCTATGCATGAAAAGGCCTCCTTAAATGACAAAACATCAAGTTACACACTGAGGATAAATAATTATTAAATCTGAACAGAATTGGTTAATATCCAGTATGTTTATTGAAGTGATGGTGAAATGATGCAGCAATTTTTCTTTTTTAGTCTGTTAACATGATGATTTGGATTAACTGATTTGAATGTTGAACCAGCTTTGCATACCCTGGATGAATCCCACTTGGTCGTGGTCTGCATATTTTTAAAACTCAATTTGCTAATATTTTGTTGAGAATTTTTGCATCTATATTCATGAGAGACGTTGGCCTATAATTTCGTTTTCTAATGCTGGCCTTATAGAATGAGTTAGAAGTATTTCCTCTGCTTCTATCCTCTGAAGGGGATTGGAGAGAATTGTTATGATTTCTTCCTTAAATGTTTGGTAGAATTCACCAGTTTTTAATTATTGGAAGGTTTTTCATTATTGCTTCACATAAATATAAGCTTATTTATACTATTTCTTTTTGTGTAAACTTTTGTAGATTGTGCCTTTCAAGGAATTGGTCCATTTCATCAAGTTTATCAAATTTCTGGGAATAGGGTTGTTCATAGTTTTCCTTTGTTATTCTTTTAATGTCCATGGGACTTGTAGTGATGTTCCCTCTTTCATTTCTGATGTCAATAATATGTATCCTCTCTTTTTTCTTAGCCTGGCTAGAGGCTTATTGATTTTTTTTGCTCTTTTCAAAAAACCATCTTTTGGTTTAATTGCTTTTCTCTATTTATTTTCTGTTTTTATTTTCATTGAATTCTGCTCTACTTCTTATTATTCCTTTTCTTTGGCTTACTTTGGATTTAACTTGTTCTTCTTTTTCTAGATTCCTAAAATGGAAAGTTGGGTTACTGATTTGAGATTTTTCTTCTTTTCTAATATATGCATTTATGCTCTAAATTTCCCTCTAAGCACTGCTTTCACTACATTCAACAAATTTTGATAAATTGTGTTCTAGTTTTTATTTAGTTCAATATTTAAAAATTTCCCTTGAGACTCCTCTTTCAGTAGGCCTTTAGCAACACTGCCCAGGATGTGTTCTATAGCCCTATGATTAGGTCCAGTCTTTTAGTGAGCCTGTGCCTCTGGACTGTAAACTTCACAAGTGTTTCTCAGTTTTTCTTCTTGCTCTCAGGTGGAATAGGGTGGCTGGAATGGTCTGAAGTTGGGTATTTCCCTTCTCCAGGGCAAAAAGGCTCTGATAATACCTCTGAAGGTTAGACTCCTGGTAACTAGTTACCCCCGATGGCAAGCCTTGTTAAGAAGAATAGAGTGCTCTGTAATATTTCAGAATGGCTCCTTTTACCTCCCTCAGTGAGAAGCCCAAAGGAATTTTACTTCAGTATTTATTGTGGGAATGGGGTTGATTGAACTTTCTACTTGTTAGGATGGAGGGGTGACTTCCAAGCAATTATATGCAGAACCACAATATTTATTATATCACATTGTTTGCGGGTAGTTTTTATTGCGCGCTCTACTATCAGTCAACGTAAAACATATAAATACGTTTCCTGTATACAATGCGATATTATAGAAAACTCAGGTATGTCCAGAAGAAAACAGATAAACAACCAATAGAAAAAATAAGATAAATTTATGAACAGGTGTCTCAGAAGAGAAAACCCAGCCCTCCAGCACCCCCCCAAAAGTATGTGAAATGATCATTTTCACTAGTAATTAGGGAAAAGCAAATGCAAACCACAATGAAATAGAGTTTTATTTACATGAGAATGATGGCAATATTAGTTATACTGAAATTCATGCCTTGTGGAAAGTCATTGGTCAGAAACTTCTCCATAGTTATAATTAGTTTCAGTTGAGGAGGAAGAAGTCACTAGAATGGAATTGGTCAAGCAGATACAGATTATCCCAATTTACCACTCAGCTGTACCTTGGGTGTAACTTTTAGGTGACTAACCCAAGACAAAGCTATAATTTTTTTTTTTCCTAAATGGCCAAGTCAAGGAAGTTTGTCATTCCCTGGATGACTCTTATCTTGAAACTATAGAAATATGACAGTCTTTAACCCTGGTCAGACAAGTTTCATCTGATTTATTCTTTACATTTCACCCAACCCATAAAAACCAACCAACCCACACTGGATGTGGCACATAAACCTGTGAAACATCGGTCAATTTAAGAGCTACACAAGAAGATCCTCACTTTTATTACCATTATCATCGTTGTCATCTTCGTCACCATCATTGTCCCTGACACCACTACAACAATCAGAAAATTATGTACAGGTAAAGGGGACTTTATTTGGGAAATTAAGTCTGTAAAAACCTAACAAGCTACTATAGGGTATCTTCTAGCTTTTTACTAATTGGTTGCTTTCTATAACTCAGATTATTTTTTCTGGACTGTCAAAAACATGCTCTTGTTTCTGAGATTTAAAGGCCTTGCAAAGTCTCTAGGAAAGTTTCAGAAAGTTGGAAAAGAGAATCAGATTTCAGCAAAATTTTGTTTACTTTTTTTTTTTATAACCACCCATAAGAACACTACCATTTTTATTCTCTAGTAATAAAATTGAAATCCTATTTTATAATAGAAAATGTTTCTATAGAAATAATTTAAAACTCTTAATGTCTTTATAGATTTTTAGAATAATGCACTTTACAACACACATTCTGAATTAGCAGCTGGCAAACTTCTGGGGGTCCTCAAAACTTCATAAATATTTAAATGAGATCCCTTTCTAGGGTACTGTTTCTTTAGGGTTCCAGGAGAAAGTTGGAACAGGAGGCCATTCAGCTCATTTGATCACTAATTTCTCTCTTTGTTCTTCAAAACTTTCTCCTTAGTGATTTAAAGTCTTCTATGAAAAAAAAGGGTTATCTTTATAAAATTTGGGGAATTTTGCACAGGAATCTTACAATAACTCTCTTCACTATATAACAATTTAGGCGCATCTAATTCAAATGGTCTGTAACTGAAGGTCTAATAAATGAAGAGTAGTTTGTTATGCAGCCTAACTGCAAATGCAATATCAGAATATGGTTAGAAGGACATCTGATCTACGAAACTACACCTGGTATGGACTGTGGGATAAATTATAGTGAGATTGATGTTTTAAAATTGGGAATAATGTAGTTACTATTATTTGTATGAATATTATTATTGTAATTTGATTAAGGTGAACGGTGGATTATGTCAGAACAGCAATGAGCCTTTACTTGAAGTAGAGTCAATTCAAAAGTGAGGCAATTATAGTTAAGTATCTGAAGCTGGTTAAATTCCTTGAAGATTAATTTTTAACCTATTCTCTTTTTCATGAGGGGTTCATCCTGGAATGCAAATCATTACATTTAAAAAAAAAACTATGGCCAAAAGTTAATTTGGTAAATAAAAGAGTAAAGTGTTTCATGAATGGACATTTTTTAGTATTTAGAACATAATTTTAATGGTTTCAGTAATTCAAAATAATAATCAATTCCTAAAGTCCATGCATCACATTTACTAAAGGAAAAGTTGAATAAATCATAAACTACTATGATATTTTAGATATAAAAAAATCTAATCTCAATTGTTTAGCTGGGGAACCATATCGGTGCTNTGACAGGAAGAGATCCATAATGGGAGGGGCTGGGGAACCATATCGGTGCTATACTCAACAATATGTTTTCTTTAGAACATCTAAAAGGGCTTTCATAGAAAAACATTTTATAAGCTGTTATGTAGTGATTGTTTGTATAGAAAACATCTCAGTGACTTTAGAATCACCATTTAGGCTACATAATTTGAGTCCCTCAAACTGATATGCGTGTCTCAGAAAGACTAAACTACCAGTCTTAAATTACTACTGGCTAATCCAAAACAGATTTGAGACCTCACTATCACAGTGAACTTCTAGTCATTACAGGAAACATATTCTCAGATATTAGTAAGATTAAAAATATTGTTATTAGTTGCTTTAATTGTATATTTCTTTTAGGGTGTGATTCATTTTGTATTAGAGACATGGCTAGAATATCCTTTTGCTCTGAGCATGAGAATAAACAATAGAATTCCAATATGAAAGCATACATGAAATAGGGAGTTTCTTGAAAGAGATTATGGTTCTTGAAAACATGAATTAACAAGTCATCAAAAGAGATATAAGGAAGAGGTAGGATTATGAATAGAGAACAGAGCAGAGAGGAAATAAGACTGGTGGAGTTGCACTGTTGTGACATAAGGTAATGTTTTAAAAAAATGTAAAAAACAACCAAAACAAAACCCCCAAATTTTCCTCTACCTAAAAATCAATTGGCTCTTTAGGCATTAGAACAAAAAGAAAGATACTCATATTCATAGAGACTATTTAACCTGCCAAATATATCTGCTGATCACAAGCTCCTGTTTTGTACATTTTGTTTAGGAGGGTGCAGAATACAGAGTTTGAGGAAACAGCTGAAGCTGCTTTGAACTTGAAATCAGAGATGTTTTTTAATGTTACAGCTCTTCCTTCAAATGAGCAATTTTGTGACATCACATCTTTCAAGATAGGAAGAATAACTAGTATCCAAACCTTATGTAGATCAGACTGAGAGTGACCATAAGGCCCAACTGTAGCCCTAGATCACTCTATGATGCCAAATCACTGTATTTTCTGATTACTTTTTATTTAATTGATTTGTTTTGATGATGAAACTTACCTATTTGTTAATTTACATTGTACAAATAATCCACATTTACTGTAGAAACGTTAGAAAATACAGTTAAAGAAAAAGTAGACAAAAAAGAAAAAAAATCTATTCATGATCTCATAACAGGAATAAGTGCAATTGATACGATATTTCCTTCCACATTTAAGTAAAACTTATAAATGGCTATGTTATATATTTGTTTATGAATCTGTATATACCCTTGTGCGTGATGTGGCTATAGTTTAGAGAAATACAACCAGACCACACCTAGTGCTATGCAACGTGCTTTAGGTAAATAAAAAGAGCAAACCAGTTTCTCATCCCTAACATGGGGACAAAAGCCGTGTCTGCTTTGCTCACAGTTGTATCCCCATAGTACTTAAGCTAACATAGCACTTAAGTATGATTGACTCAAAGAATGAGCACCAGGGCCTGTCCATCTTTTTAAATTGACTTTGAGAGAGAAACGTGCCTTGGCTGCCTCCTGAACGCCGCCCCCCAGGGATGGAGCCCGCGGCCGCGTGCCCTGCCCGGGTCCGACCGGGGCCTCCTGGGGTTGGGCTGCCGCTGGGCGTGTATCCAGTTTGGGCATTTGAGGCTCCTGCGCTTTAGCTAATGTAAAGGCCTGATGCATGTATTATAAGCCATGTTGTAGGCGCTGGAGGAGAGGTAGGTACATGTAGAGTGTCTGTCGCCTGATCTGAATCACTTTCCCCCTGTCACAGGTTTGGAGTGCCCTCCCAGAGGAGATCTTGGCCAGTATGTACGGTGATCCCTATTCTTCTTGGAGTGGTGGCAATCTTGGGAGTAACTATTGGTCTCCTTGTTCATTTCCTGGCAGTTGGTCAGTATTAACTATTTTCAATTTCCACCCTTACTACTAAATCTCCTTTACTTATGAATTGTCAAGAAACGACATAAATATTAAATTTCTTTGTGTAAAATTTATTATTTACTTAGTGTTTTGTTTCAACACAATACTTTTCTACTACTTGACACTGAAGTTTATAAAAGTTTTTGAATTAGATGCCTCCTTGATCCACTCTATAAGTTGTATCATCAACTATGGGGATATGACAAAAATGAAACAGTCAATACTTTGATGCTAATATTCATTGTCAATAAAGGAGCTTGTAGTAAGCTTGTAGTTGAGTTGGTATATCTTTTAGTAAATATACCTCAAATTGTAGAGATTCCTACTATTCTCGGCTCAATTCTAGTATTGACAGATTAATCTGCTCTCCTGCACATACCCAAGTTCAGCATACTGAATGTAACAGTGCTAAAGAGTCTATTTATTTGCTCTTCTGTTTGGTGAAAAACTTTACAGATTAAAATTATAAAACGGTAGGAAAAAGAGAGTCTTGGAGTTTATTTAATGTAATTTAGTCTTTGTTATTAGTGAAAATAATCCCAGAGGGCTAAAGTAATATGCTGAGGTGACAGCCAATTTGTTTCACCTTGTATTTAACAAATTGAACTAGTTTATCTAACTTTATATACTTTACTCTTTTCAGAGTGACCTTAGGTAACTTCTTAGACAGAACCTGGCATTTCCTTTCACATGCACTGGTTGCCAGAAGGAAAAATACAGGAAACTGTAAGGATAGAAGAAAACTGATTTTTATTTTAGGTTGAAATGATGTTTCTGACTTCTAGTACAATGAAGTATTACAGCTCAGGTGATCATATTTTTCAAAGTCTATTATTAGCACCCCTTACAGACTATGTGGTGCTTTTCAAGGTGGCTCAAAAGCACACAACTGTTCTCAAAATATGTGAATGGCTAATCCTTAACCAAAACAGGATACCATTTCCTACTAGTTCCTATTTTTAAAAGTACATAGGTGACGTGAAAGAGCTACCTGTAGGTTGTCATGTTTTAAATTAGGGTGGCCTAGTACATCAGGTGAAGCAGTTTACATTTGGAGAGAGGAAAGAATAGGGAGTGTGAGGCCTGTGACACCGCCAGGCACCAGGCACCAGATGCCACAAGGAAGTGCCAGGGCAACATCAGGACATAAAGGAATGACTTCAAGGCGCGGAAAGCAGGCCAACAGGCAATGGGGCATAAGAAAGGGTGCAAGTGAGTGTAGGTCATCCAGAAAGTGCAAGGAGACGTTTGTAATACTTCCTGTATCAGAACTGCTTAAAAAAGTTAATTGGGTAATCACTAGGCTAAGAATTCAGGTTACACATGAAAAACACATTTCACCTCTAGTGCATTCTCGGGTAAGTTGCCATCAGCTGCCTGGATTAGTGCTTTGAGGAGGATACTGAAGAACGGTGATGTCTATTACCTTACGAATAAAGGAGGGGTCACTTCGTGTATGCTGGGTAGTTGCCATTTCTAGAATAAGCGAATATTAGTTTTCCTTCATTTCCCTCTTCTCCCTTTTTCAGTCCTTCTGGTTATTTCTAAAGCTGGGTTGAATGTTAGTTTTGTGATAAAGATACGGAGGGACTTGAAGCCAATTTCTGTTTTAAAATTCTTTGCACATTTCTCTATTTCACAGGAAAGATTTACCATTACCAAGGTGATTTTCTTATTTCTGGAGTCACATACAATGATAGTTGTGAAAATGCACCTTCACAAATTAGTACAGATCTGAGCAAAGATATTGAGACTAAGGTAAGTTGGTGATTTATTTTGTTAATTTCATTATAAATTTGATTAAAATAGACATGGTAGCTCTTTTGTGTTTTTTTTTTTCCCTGACAGATGTTGGACCGATTTCAAAATTCTAGTATATACAAAGAATATATCAACTCTCAGGTCATCAAACTTCTGTGAGTACAGATTTATTCAGGGTGCTATGGAAAGGGAAGTAGGCGATATGTCACATTAGCCCTGGTTTTACATAATAACAACATGAAAAGAGAGAGAGAGAAGAAGGAAGGAAACAAGGAAGGAAGGAAGGAAGGAAGGAAGGAAGGAAGGAAGGAAGAAAAGTTGTCCATAAATTAAAGTATCATTGTATTTAACCAATTTCTATTCAAGGCAGAAACTGCTCTGTCCGAATCTGTAATCTTATACGTGAAGGGGAATTGCAAGGTTGCTCATGTCAGGCAGGTCTAACTGACTTCTAGGATAAAAGGTAACTGTAACTCTATGGAAAACAAGGAATCCAACCTGGTTGTTTTGCTACCCATATACCAGCCACCTCTTCTTCCGCCCATATCCACCTGGCATGCCTTTCCTAAAATAGCCTTCTTTTGGTCTCTCTAGCATTACCATTACTGTAATAACTGTGGACCAAAGTGAATCATTTGAGATAGCATTTGTCTTCCAAAATGAATTAATTTCCTTTCCTGATTAATAAAAAGAATGTACTGAATGTACAAATAATGGAGATTTTCTTCATGCTTTATAGTTGCGTTTCTGAGATTTCTCAGGAAGCAGACATGTATAAGAAATTATAAAAAGGATCTTAGCACTTGCTCTTGAATATATTTTAGAAGTTATCTTTTGAATGCTTCCTAGTTCTACATTTAAGTTCTCACTTATCTTTTAATCTAAAATTATTTGAAAATACCTGTATGAGAACATGGTTTTTACTGTGTTATAATAAAATCTCAAATTAATCATTTATTGGCCAGTACTCAGTGTCTCCTATGTGTTTAAAATACAGGGTGGGGCAAAAGTAGGTTTATAGTTGTGAGTACGAGAAACAAAGAATTTATTGTTGTATTATTATTTATTAATTATTGTGTTATTTTCCACATGAACAACTATAAACCTGCTTTTGTCCCACCCTGTATTCTGATTTCTAGTTTGTGGTTCACATCTTCTTCCATGCACAATACCTCTGAACCAGTTAGAAGATTTTGGGGAACCCTTGCACTTTAAACATGCTGGAACAATTTCTGTGTATTATTTTTAATATATATAAAGAAAATATAATAATTAAAATGTGGGACATTCAATGGGTTCAAAAAACATCTAAAAAATCAAGAAGCAACATCTCTTCTGTTTCTAGCCCTCATCCCAATGGTTCCAGTGTACAGTTGCAGCTGACATTCAAGTTTCCTCCAGCAAAGAGGGGCATCATGAAGACTGAAATCAAAGCTGTCTTACTTCAGATGTTGAAAGACAACACGGTGTCCTGGAATGCGGTTCCATCTTCCATTAAACTTATGGGTATTTCCTTTATTTTCTAATATTTGTGCTTATGNACTAGAACATCTCTTCTGTTTCTAGCCCTCATCCCAATGGTTCCAGTGTACAGTTGCAGCTGACATTCAAGTTTCCTCCAGCAAAGAGGGGCATCATGAAGACTGAAATCAAAGCTGTCTTACTTCAGATGTTGAAAGACAACACGGTGTCCTGGAATGCGGTTCCATCTTCCATTAAACTTATGGGTATTTCCTTTATTTTCTAATATTTGTGCTTATGAACTATTTTAAAAAACAAAAAGAGTACTAGGAAAAAAATAAGCCAAGGGTTTCAGGAATTCATTTAGGAAAAAATATGCTTCCCCAAGTCTGGCACTTCTACAGTGAATTGGTTGTAGAAGGGACAGCTCCAAAGAATTTTTGCCTGAAGGGTGATTGAAATGGTTAAACGGTGAGCATGCGAGTTTGAGAGAGTTCGCTGTCAATGCGTGGGAAAGGCAGTGAAGGGTCCTAACTGAAGCATTATTCCTCCCCAGCCCCTACTCTTGTCAGGATCTCATTACCGGAAACAGAGTTAGAATTTTCTTGATCATTCAGTGTAAACAGTGACGTGGTAAGAGTGAAGCTGGGCATAGGAAGCTCTCATTGCTTCTTGAGGACGAATGGGAGTAACAGTATTAAAGAAAAAAAACCCGTCTGGACTAACTCCCTAGAAAACAAGGGAAGAAAATGATAGGACTTTGCCACAGTACAGAAAGTGAAGTTTGTAAAGATCTTCCAGGTCCAGTGAAGGTCTTGAAATTCTCACTTGTGCTGTTAAAGGCCTGTTAGGTGATAAGCATGTGGTTACAGACATGCTTATCTGTATTTGTGGTGCTTCTGGACAGACAGTTGATCCGAGTGTCCTTGGAGTCTATGAAGGCTGCCAGGTGGCAGTTACAGCTCCTTTGACTCCGAATANACCCAGTTTTGTGGTGCTTCTGGACAGACAGTTGATCCGAGTGTCCTTGAAGTCTATGAAGGCTGCCAGGTGGCAGTTACAGCTCCTTTGACTCCGAATACAGACTCTACCACCNACAGACTCTACACCAATGGGCCACTGATGAGAAGTGAGTTTGAACTAGAAGTTCTCAAAGGGGCAATGCAATTCTCTGTGGGTGGCTGTCGGGATAGATGGCTCCACTAGTTATTGCCCCTGTGTCCCCGGGATTCAGGCAGCACTTTCCAGTGTGTCTTCCTTTAGTTCCCTACTCTTCTCTTTCTCTCTAAAGTCTCTTCCCAATAGAAAAGAGACTTGAATTTAAATTAAAGTCTCAAAATTTTAGAATTTAGCCTTAGTAATAAGATGATCCCAAAGAGCAGAACAGCTCCAATAAAATAGAATTTTAATTGGACCTTTTTCTTTACAATATAGATAACTCTGAGTACGTCAAAGTAAAAAGAATTATCATAGAGAAATTTAAAGATAATGCCCAGTCCTTTTTAATAGTAAGAATGTCAGCTTTTACCTCTCTAAGTATTTTACTACAACTATTATACAATTGAGAGCTTTGTCTTTTATTTCCTTTCCCCTTTTCCTATACCTGGTAGAGATGTGGAGAGACAGTCAAAATATAACAAGTAGCAGTAAGAGGGACCAATAATACATGAAACAGTCTGGATTTGTTAAATGTTGGTCATGATTGGGCTGGAAAACTTAGCCTTTATGTCCTCGGACTGAAGGCAATTGTTTGGTAAATTATGTCTTATCAATTTAATGTCTTTTAAATTTCAGAAATCAGCAAGGCTAATGCTGAAATGCTTACCAACAAATGTAAGTTTAGAAATTTTATTGTAAATTTAACACACTCATAAACATTTCTCCATCTTTTTCCTAAAAAGGACCTTGATGTACATTACATGAAAATCCATAGTAGTCTTTCAGAATTATTGGATATATCAGATATATATCTGGAATTTCTTTTTGAAAAACACTGGCATATCAATTTTAACTTTATAAGGAGTTGTCCAAATGGATGAAATAAGAACTGATTCCAAAGAATTGAATTATGAGTTAAGGAAATCACTCTGAATAAGTTAAAATAGGAAAGATTGAAGGGAAAAAAGGACAATTTAGGATAATAAGAATATAAAAAACTAGGCTGTATCAAATATATTTATTATTGATGAAAAACAGTTTTGTACCTTTTAAACAAATTCTCTGTGGAGTATCATGTTCTCCCAAGACATAACCCTGCATTCATGCACTCAGTGGAGTATCTATAAGGAATATTTCTGCTATTCAAGATGCAGACATTAATGAAGCAAAGTATACACGTTCAAAAAATTTTGCAGTTGGAGAGATGAGAATGATAAGAAATAGATACAATAACAGCCAGTGGTTGAAAGATGCTGTAGACTGGAAAAGAAGAGATGTGAAAGTCACCCAAACCATGATGACAGTACATTCCAGGAGTGAAAAAGCATCACTCAGGAGATGCTGGACAATCACCAAAGGGGTTAAAGTAATGTTTTAAGACACATATCTTATAAAGCGTTATCAAAGATACCTGCTCTTGTATAAAAAAAATCCTTTCTTCAGGTTGTGGGAGACAACTGTTCAACAGTATCAGAGCAGGCAACCGAATCGTGAATGGAAAAAATGCCCAGATGGGGGCATGGCCGTGGCAGGCCAGCATGCAGTGGCAGGGCAAACACCACTGCGGAGCGTCTCTGATCAGCAGCAGGTGGTTACTATCTGCAGCTCACTGCTTTGCTAAGTAAGTGCAAAACTCTGACTATCTGTAGGATTCTGGGTGCTGGCCCATTTTTGGTAGTTTGTGGGGGCTAACCTAAGTGTCTGAGCATTCATCAAGGCCATATACATTTACAATTACCTGCAAATTTGAAGGGAAGCAGGTATATTTAAATTTGGCAAAGAAAGGAAAAGTGAATAGAAACAATTCTCATTTTCCAAATAGCTACTCTGACCTGACAGCATCTGTTTTACTTACATTATTTTATTTCATCATAACAATAATTCTGCACAGAAGGTAAGCTTATTTAAAGCTGAGGAAATTGGGGTTCAGAAATAGTGACATAACTAGGCCAAGACCATATAGCCCTTAAATGACAGAAACTGAATGTGAACTCAGGAATGTCTGACTCCAGTTACTAGGTGCTTACTTTTCTTGCCCTTCAGGGGTTTACAATGTAGTTAAAGAATTTAAAATGTGATGTATTCAAGGTATAAGACAGCATAGTATAGTAAATGTCTTACATACAACACAAGTAAGAGCTATGGAAATTTGATGAATAAAGACAGCATATCCAACTGAGATATGGAGATATAAAATTTGATATGGCCCCTACAGATATAAGATTTGATTAATAGGGTGAGTAGATGGAAAAGAACAATGTGTGTGTTGGGCTGGGAAAACAGTCTTCTCAAAATGTGTTGAGAAGTTATATTCTGTGGATAGTAAACAAAAAGAGTAATTTGAAGTAGGAAAAATTTTGTGAAATAAAACATTAGAAAATATGCTTAGAAAATTTGTATCGATTGGGAACATCTCTAAATGACATGAGACTTACTTATTGAAGAAGTCACATACAAAGATTTGTCCCTCTGATGTAATTTTCAAAAAGTAGTCCATGGATTATGGACCACCTGGGAGACTTATCAAAAGTGTAGACCCTTAAGCATATCACTAAACCTTTTAAATATAAATTCTGGAGGTGGCGCTGGGGCTGAGTCTAAGGGAATGAAGTTTAACAAACAGATCTGTGAAGCACATGGAGTCATGGAAGGTTCTAGAATGGTAGAAGGACTGAAGAGTGTCACTGTTACAAGAAGGTCTTGAAACCTTAAAACAAACAAACAAAAACCAAGAATCTGATCTTTTGAGGGAGAGTGAAAATAGTTAAACAGGATGTTAGGTCCTAACTTGAGAGTTTCAGTGGGATTTGGTGAAATGGGTCATAAAATCTAAATCAGAAGCCAAAATGTATTGACTTCGTAGAATAATAGGGTGACTGGGTGAGAACAAGTGGCAATTTTTTTACGTTTTCAGATGCCAGAGCCTCTCAATGGCTCTCGAAATCCAGACTGTCTGGCAATGAGTGATTCTAGACCCCATCCCCTGAGGCTGCTGGGATGATTCCTACTCAAGTCAAATGTTCAGAAACTGGGTGGGACTGAAGTAGGAGGAGAAGACAGCAGTGACTCTAGTTAGGGGGATTTGCAGAAGGCTGACAGCTCTAATAGTCCTTAGCATTATTTTTATATGACTGCAGCATTTATAACATCCGCAAGTCAAAGCCATTTTTTAAAAATAAGAATTTAAGTGCTTTACAATGTTATTTGGGAATCTCATGCCTTAAAGTCATGATATGACCACTAGGAACACTGCTGTGGCACAGAAACTGAAAATATTTAAATTTAATTGTGTTTTCCAGCAAAACGAATTCAGAAGATTGGACTGTCAACTTCGGAACTGTAGTAAATAAACCATATATGACAGGGAAAGTCCAAAACATTATTTCTCATGAAAATTTTAGCAGTCCTGGGGTTCATGATGACATTGCCCTTGTGCAGCTTGCCAAGGAAGTCTCTTTTTCAAAGTACATTCGTAGAATTTGTCTTCCTGATGCCAAAATGAAGCTCTCAGAAAATGACAGTGTTGTAGTTACAGGATGGGGAGCCCTTTATATGAACGGTAAGTTTTTCTGTAAAAACATAATAGCTTCATGGGAATAATTATTTAAACGATCAATCAATCAATCAATCAATCAATCAATCAGTCACTCTCTCATGCAATTAACCAATCCCTAAATATACTGAAAAGAAACCCAGTGCTGGAACCAAAAGCATGGCATTGTCTTCAAGTTCCGAAATCTCTCTGGGAATGAGAATTGGAAAAACTGGAATTGTGTGAGGGAACCGGCTGGAATCAATGTGGGAAAGAGAGCAGCCTGGCCTGGGACTGGCCTGACTCCTGGCGACCGAAAGACTCTGCTTTATTTGGGGTATTCTTCGTCTCAACAAAGTTAAGATCCCCTTAATATGCAGAATTTGTTGCCTTTAGGTCCCCTTCCAAGTGTCCTTCAAGAGGCCTTTGTGAAGATTATCGGTAACGAAGTCTGCAACGCGCCTAATGCATTATCTGGCTTAGTGACTGATAACATGCTATGCGCCGGATTTATGTCAGGAAACGCTGATGCCTGTCAGGTACGTCTAGATTCGCCATCAAATCATTTTCTCCCAAAGTACGAATTAAATGGCAGTTTTTATCACCACAAGATATTTTTCTGTGTTAATGATTTCCACAGAGTTCCTTCTTATTTCAATCCATATAAAGAATATTGATTACCCCCGTTTATATCCCAGACACCAGCCTAGGTGCTGGGGATGCAGCGGGGAACACAATCCCTGCCCTCATGGAGTTTTCAGTCTACGAATGCACACAAATAATAATAGCTACAAGGTAATTAAACAGGTGTGCCCTGTTTTCTGGGCAACCTGCAGATCTACAATGCTGCCTCCTTCTTACCTGGAGATGCAGCGGGTTTAGCAGGTGCACAGGTCGCCCGTTCCCCAGAGGCTTCATCACAGAGCAGCTGAGTGGCCTCCACAGTCAAGGCTGGGCTCACTCTCAATTCATTCCTAGTCTGCCCAATCCAACAAGTGGCAGCTGGAGACAGCTGATTCTGGTTTGGAGTTTCCCTGGGTTTTGCTTATTTTTATTTTATTTTTCCATTATGATTTATCCCCTCTATGCCCTCTTCCCCCTCGCCCCGCTTCCAGTCACCACCCTGTTGAATAAACCCAAGTTCCAGAGTTTCTAAGCCTAAAGGGTGTGGATTGTTTTCAATGCCCAGGGGCTATTGATAACTCCAGAAGAGAGGTAAAAGGAAAATCTTGGACAGGATAAGAAGCTTTTTTTCTCCTTTTTCTTCTAGAATGATTCTGGTGGACCACTAGTTTACCCTGACTCTAGAAAGATCTGGCACCTTGTTGGAATAGTAAGCTGGGGCGATGGATGCGCTAAAAAGAATAAGCCAGGTGTCTACACCCGAGTGACTGCGTATCGTGATTGGATTACCTCCAAGACTGGACTCTGAACGAAAAGTAACTTTGGAACAAAGCATAAAGACAACCAACTGCAGGGCTTTCTTATCTGTTGCTTCAAAATCTTTTTCTTTTGATTGTTGGTATACCAATCATTTTCTTATGTACAAATACATAAAGGTCTTTATCATAGATAAAGGTATATTTTATTATATCTAAAAGACTATCCATTTACTTCCTCTATTAACTAATAGAGGAAACAGTAAGAAAAAAAAAAGATGGCCAGAATATTTTTATTAATTGCCTAGTTCTGATTTATCCTGCCACTATATTCAGAATTGACCTTAATTTATTTTTAGAATTAAAAAAAACACTTTTTTTTAGTATGAGAACATAAATGCTGCACCTACCAAATAAATTATATTTCATTCTATAAATTTTAATTGCATTTTGTTAAACTGGAATACATAAGACATAAAATGTACATTCTTTTTTTTACTTATATGTGAGATAATTTGTGTGCCACATAAAATCATACAATCTTTGAGTGGAGAAGAGGTTTCTGAGTTTGGGCTAGACAAAGCCTCTCAATTTATAGATTGAGAAACTAAAGACTAGAGAGGGAAAATTATTTGCTTAAAGTTAATCTTCAGCCTCACTGATAAATTGCAACCCTCACATGAATTTTCCTTCATAGAGTTTATGTACTAAACTAATCAGAAATTTAAAAATAATTCTTAAGTTGCAATTATTTAAATAACATTTTCTGCTTGTTGTCCTTTTGTCATTTGTTTGCCTTCACTTGCAACAAAAATAATGTGAGGTTTTCAAAGGCAGAGAACTGTGTGGAACCAAATGAGTAGCTCTAATCTCTGAAAATAATTTCCTAATATTAAAAAAGTAGCCCCAAATTTTTAAAGTACCTAAAATAAACTAAAACTACTTCTCTCCTCAATTGTTTATAATATTACTTTTTTATTATAAAGTGTGACCTAAATGACCTGCATAAAACCAATCCACAACCAGGTGTGACTGTTTTTCTCTCTCGACTGAAGTGTTTTTCTCTCTCGACTCCTTTCTCAGGCAGGACACACATATTTTTTTAGCACCTAGTGTGTTCTAGGAACTGTCAAATATAGACAAAGAATCTTTCAAGGATGCTGCATTTAGTGGATGAAGATTGTAAACATAAATAAGATAATTTGAGATTGTGATAAATGTTATGGAGGCAATAAAAAGTACTATAATAGAAAATAGTGGGGCAGATGGAGAGTACTTGAGATTGGGCAGTCTAACTTACTTCTCTAAGGGAGGAGCGTTTGAACTTGACCTAAATGACGAAGAGGCAAAACATACAAAACATCTGAGAGAAGAGAACTTCAAAGGAAACAAGTATAAAGGCCTTGAGACGGAAATAAGCAAGGTGGATGTGTGGACAGAAACAGTTTCTGTCTTCAGCTATTTCCTCCCAGTCTCTTTTGCTGGTCGTCTACATCTTCCCAAACTGTAAATGTTGGAGTGCCCCAGCGATCAGGCTTCAGATTTCTTCTCTACTTGCCCTCATGACCTACACAACCTTATCCAGCCAATGCTTTCAGTACCGACTCTTTGCTGGTGACTCCCAAATGCTTTAACTCTAACTCTGACTTCTCCCTGGACCTTCAGTTACACATAGCTGAAATTTCTACTTCAAAGTTCTTGTAGGCAATTTACATTAGTTTATCAAAATAGAATTCACCTTAGTCTTCCCGTTAGCCCTTCGCTTTTTTTTTTTTTTTTATATATATATATCTTTATTGATTTCAGAGAGAGGAAAGGAGAGGGAGAGAGAGAAGCATCAATGATGAGAGAGTCATTGATCTGCTGCAGCCCACAACCCGGGCATGTGCCCCGACCGGGAATCGAACCCCGATCCCCTGGATCCTAGGTCGATGCTCAACTGCTGAGCTGTGCCCAGCCGGGCAGCCCTTCGCTTTTAATACATTAGTCATGGAGTCACTCTGAGTATCAATATTTGAAATATTAGCCTTGCTTATTTTCATTATTAGAATTTGCGTAGGGTTTACTACTGGACTGGATGAGCTCTCTCCTTATCTCTGGAAATTCCTGGATACTTGGCTTTGACTCTTGGCCAATATGAGGCCATTAGGATTCATGTGAGGTTTAAGTTCTGAACCTTTCATGGCAACCCCTGGGCCAGTTTGATTACTGATCTAAGATCCTGCTGGAAACTTCTGCCTTGAGCTCTTTTGGAGTTAACAGGTTTTGGTGATTCAGACTGAACACAAAATGTGTATGTGTCTGAATAATGACTGTGGGGAACTTGCAGCTTGTGTATGTCTTGGCCTCCCTATGCTTGCCTGTACTCTCTCTCGATGTACATGTTCTTTGCTTTTAAATAAAAGCCTTATGTAAGTATTCTCTGTGGAATCTTATCAGTCCTTTCAAATATCCAGACTTGTGAAATCTTTTTGAATTTAATATTTAAAAATGCAGCAATGGTGTGCTGAAGCTGGCTTGCACCACTGTATGAGCTGAATGTTAAAACTTCAGGGATTGTGTTAACCAGCTGTGAAACACACCATAATTGAAAATTAAGGATACTAAATACCCCAAACTCATCATATTTTAATTATTTTACTACATGTTACTAGTATTTATTGTCTTGAGGTTATTTGCATCTATTGTACCCGTACAGTAAAGATAAATATAATAGAGTGTTACTGCTCACTTCTTCCAAAATCCATGCTTGGTAATATCATGTGCTTAGCTTGAAATTGGTTGTGTGTATTTACACCACCAAAGTTGGCCAATGCTACAAAGTACCTCCTACACCATGGCCCTGGGACCAAGTTGTTAAATACTTACAAGCACACCACTGAATGTAAGTATTCCTTATTTATGCTTTTAAAAGAAATCTTCACTAAATGATGCATTGGAACACAATTTTTATTCCATGATATTACAGACTAGCTTTTTGGTCATTGTGCCGGATATTTTTGCTAAATGCCTTAAGTATTGCCTGCTAGTGACTGAGGTCAAGAAGATTTGTTATTTGTTTTCATTTTTCATAATTTCAATGCAAGCAGAAGTTTCAGAAGAAGCTCTTTTTGAAACATTTTGCAGTGATATAAGGACATTTCTGATTTGCAGTTTACAGTAGTTAATTAAAGGATTCTAGAAAACACAATTACATGTTATTTTAATATGTTGGATTCTCTAATATGTTTAATTCTGAAAATAAAATAATTATATCATACTTTCTTCTGTTGTTTCTTAAAATATTATTTTCATCTAAAATTTGTCACAGTTCCAAGAGCCCTTCTTTTGCCTCTGTAACTTGTTTCCTGAGCCCATTTCTTCTACAGCTCACTTCTTTTACTTCTGTGACTTTCTAAAATAAGCTTTCTCTTATAAAAAAAATGAGTAAATGAATAAATAAAAATAAAACTTGTCACAGTTGACACTCATGGTTAAGTAAACAAAACTTTATTTTTACTAAATATAGGGGTACAAATTATACAAGAATTCCATTAAATAACTATCTCTGGCTTTATAAGCCTACATCAATGACTTTTAAGTCAGGTTTACCTCATTTACAAAAAATAATAAACAATGCAAAAATCACTAGCCAGGGTAATGAGAGATTGTCCCCACATTTTCCTTCCCAGTCATTTGATGAAAGATAAAGTATTAGAGGAATTTGTCCAAGCCATTATCAGAACAGGAACAAGGCTGTAGTAATCAGGGAGAATTAATAAAAGGGACCCTAGTGCCCTGCTGGTGGGAATGCAGACTGGTGCAGCCACTATGGAAAACAGTATGGAGGTTCCTCAAAAAATTAAATGTGGAGCTGCCGCTTGACCCAGTGATCCAGTGATCTAGGAATATATCCTAAGAAATCCAAAACACCAATCAGAAAGAATATATGCATCCCTATGTTCATAGCAGCACAGTTTACAATAGCTAAGATCTGGAAAGAGCCCAAGTGCCCATCAGTAGATGAGTGGATAAAAAAGCTGTGGGACATTCACACCATGAAATACTACGCAGCTGTGAAAAAGAAGGATCTCTTGCCCTTTGGGACAGTATGGATGGACCTGGAGAGCATTATGCTAAGTGAAATAAGCCAGGCAGAGAAAGACAAGTATCACATGATCTCACTCATATGTAGAAATCTGATGAACAAAATAGATCCAGAGACACAGAGCATGGAACAAACTAATTTCAGAGGGAAGGCGGGGGTGAGTGGGTGGGGAGAGATTAACCAAAGAACTTACATGCATATATGCATAACCCATGGGCACAGACAATAGTGGGGTGAAGGCCCGGGGCTGGAGGTGGGCACGGAGTAGAGGCGGTCAATGGGGAAAAACGGGACATCTGCATACTTTCAACAACAAATTTAACAACAAAAAAATCCTATTTCATCCCTGGCCTCAACATCCTTTAAGAATAAAACCAAAATTCTTTATTATGATTTGCTGGTGCTCCACATTTTCCCAGGCACATACCTGTCATTGCACATCGCACAAGATGTAAAAATTATCTGTTTATGCATCTGAATATGTTACTAGTCATGAACTTCTCAAGAGCTCTTTTCCATCTATGTGTTCTTGGTCCTGTGGCTACTTCAGTGGAGGTCGTCATTGTGTTCAACTGAACAAAACTGAAATGCACTATCAGGATCTGGCTGCTACATACGTCTCTCTTTTATCTCCCAGCATGCCCTTGCATTTAACCTGTGATCCAATCACACTACTGAGGTTTCTGAAACATGCTATGATGGGCCTTTCCGAATAGTGTACTCCTTGTCTAGAATGTCCTTCAGTCACTTTTTTTTTTCTTTCTGCTACATTCTTACCATCTTTTAAAAATTACCTCAAACCTTTGTGAGACTTTATCCATTGTGTTCTCATGGATTTTATGCTTATTGTCTTTAAACCCTCATCTCATCCTGGAATGTTATATAAAGCCAATAAATACAATTAATTTTTAGTCAATATTAATTTGGCCCTGACTCCCTGAAAAACTATATTTTATTGCCAGTTCC